CTCCTCTCTCTGTCTTCAATAAAAATGTTTTTGCAATTTTGAGATTGGGTCTTGGAATCACTAAGTAGCTTAGGATGGTCCTGACCTCCTGCTATTGTTGGCTGAGCAGTTAAATGCAAGTGCTACTCTTCTAGAGGAAGAGCAGCACCCACACTAGGCCCCTCACAACCACCTGTAACTACAGCTCCAGGAGAACCAACACTTTCTTCTGACTTTAGGCACTACACTCTTGTACACAAACTCACAGACAGAGAGACAGACAGACAGACACACACATTAATAAAAATTAAAATTAATCTACAAAAACCCCCAATAACAACACTACAAGACTCTGGTAAAGGGACCTAATCTTCCCTACCTCAGTTTCCCTTCCTGTAACATACTGTAGTATAGCATCTACCTGCTGTGACTGCTGTATAAATTCAACCCAGTAGGTGAAGTGTTTTTCAGTCCTGGTAATAGTTATTATTCTGATTATGGTGATGCACAGGGCTTAGCACACAGTGGTTGCTCAATAAATGGTGATTGATACAACAGCCTTCGGTAGCTGAAGCAGGCATGGAATTATCTCCTTCTCCTCCCACCATGGTGCAGACTTTCCCAGGCAAGTCATTCCTTATCTCTTCCTGTTTCTAGTCTCCTCTTAAATTTACAACTTTGCAAAATTATAAACTTTTGATAAGTCTTTTTTTGTTGAGATAGAGTCACATGTAGCCCAGGCTGGCCCCAAAGCTTAGGATGACTTTGAACTCCTACTGTCTTTAAATCCTAAGTGCTGGGATACAGGCACAATCCTCCATGATGTATCTATCTATCTATCTATCTATCTATCTATCTATCTATCTATCTGTCTTTAAATAGGGTCTCACTATGTAGCCATTCCTGGCTCGGGACTTGCTATATAGACCAGGGTTCCCTTGAGCCTAAAGAGATCTGCCTGACTCTGCCTCGAATGCTGGGATTAATATTGTGCCCATGCCTTGTTTATGGGGTACTATGGATTAGACCTCAGTGTTTCATACATGAGGCAAACCCTCTAATAGCTGAGCCACATCTCCACTCCCTGCAGTTTCTTAAATCCCCATTTCTACCAGAAAAGCAGCAGGTCAGAGCTAGGTAGTCAGGTCTTTTGTCCTGATCCTGCCTGTCTCATGATACATTTGGTTACCGTTGAGCTGGAGCACTCACTATCTCTCTAGATTTAATTTCTACTCCTCTTCGTTTGTCTTCCTGCCTGTGCCCTCCAGGAGATTTGGGTCTTCACTGTCCTCAGCCCTGCTTTTCCTGCAGAGGGTGGATATTTAATACTAAGATAAGGACGGGAACAGCCGCGGTTGAGTGCCTGTTATAGAAACAGTCAGCTGAGTCCTGTCCTCTCAAAAGACACCCTCATTCCCATTTCTCTAGAGGAGGGGGTGGTTTCAGGGAGATGGCACGCCTCTGCCAGAGCCATACCATCGCAGAGTATCCATATTTACAACGGAACCCCTTCTGTCTGTGCCTAACCACAGGCTAGCCAGGGAGGGGAACATTCCTCCTGAAGGTCTAGAGCCTGGGCTGTAGAAACAGGATCTGCAGGTGTGGGGGAAGGGTGGAGGGGCTAGGACAGTGGGGCAGGGGGTACTTACCCTGTGGTGGTGCTCATGATGGCAAGATGAGGTGCTCTGTCTACTTGGAGGTGCCTTGAGAGTTGGCAAAGACGTGCGTGAGTGACTTAGCTTCAGGCACAGGATCCTGACCCAACCCTCCTCCCTCAAACTGAGGAGTCCAGGCCCCTGCCTGGCTCCTAATTCCTTAGACAGGAATCCCTTCTTCAGACTCAGGAGTCTGGCCATTTCCCCTGAGACCTAGGGGTCCAGATCTCTTAGACTTGGGAGCTCCAGCCCTCCTTTAGACACTGAAGTCCAGATTTCTGCTGTCTGCTTTCAGACTCAGTGTTCAAGTCCCAGACTTCTTTTCTCAAACCCAGGGGGCCAGTGAGAACTTTATCTCTCAGCCACGAGTTTAGACCCACACCTCCTTGTTCAGACCCAGGGGTCCAGGGGGGACTTCATCTCTCAGATCCAAGAGTCTAGACTCCAGACGATCCTTGTTCAGATCCCGGGGGTCCAGAAGGGAACCTTATCTCTCAGATCCAAGAATCTAGACCCCAGTTCCTCCTTGCTCAGATCCAGGAGTCCAGAGGGTACCTTATCTCTCAGATCCAAGACTCTGGACCTCAGCTCTCCTTCGTCAGACTCAAGGTCCAGGCTCCAGATTTCCTCTCTCAAATCCACGTATCCAGCCCCCAGCTCTCTCCTCCGTCAGACTAGGGCCTGGCCTCCTCACCTGCCTGCCGGCTCTGTCTGTCCCTCAGCCTTCAGCTCTCCCTCCCTTGTATTCTAGACTCCTCCTTCTGCCTCCTCCCAGGCCTCGTGGCTCCTGCATACCTGAGCGCTCACCTGGCACTGCTGACCGGAGGTGGCTCGGGGGGCGGGGCTGGCACACAGTCTCAAGTGCGGGGGCAGGGTTGCTGTAGGGGATCCCGGAAATTATGTGTGTCCGTTGTAACAACAGAATAATAACAACAATTTGTTGTCACACTTGTTCACACGTCTGAGTGAAAAGCTCCTCCTTAAAATATATCTTTGAGTCCTCCCCCGCGCTGGGGGTGGGGTAAAGGTAGGATTTCCCCTTGACTAGGGAAGTTAAGGCGTGGAGTGGTTGGGCCATTTGTTCATACAGCTAGGTCATCCAGAGAGTGTCTGTGGAAAAGGAGATCAAACACTGACTGTGTCTCCCGGGCCAGGATGCATCCTGGCTCCTGGGACACCTATCAATACTTGCCTTTTCCCTGGCTCTGGATTCTACCTACCCTCCTTCTTCCATCTTCCTTGGAAAATTGCCTTCCATCACTCCCTGTGGAGCTGAGGGTTGAGACTTGTCTCATTAAGTACCTAGAGCAGTGACTCTCAACCTCCCTAATGCTGTTACACTTTAATACAGCTTCTCGTGTTGTGGTGACCCCCAACCGTAACATTATTTCCTTGTTCGTTCATAGCGGTAATTTTGCTACTGTTGTGAATCATAATGTAAATATCTGAATACAGAATATCTGATAGATGACCCCCCCAAAGGAGATCCACAGTCTACAGGTTGAGAACCCTTGACAAAGCTGAATGTGGTGGCTCACTCCTGGGCTGAGGCAGGAGGACTGTGCTGACTTTGAGGCCAGCCTGGGCTAAAGTGTGAGGCCCACCTGAGGATGTAGCTCCACTGGTACAGTGCTAGCCTAGCACGCTCGGAGGCCTGGTTCAGTCCCCAACATCACTCCAACTGGTTATGGATACACACACTTGTGACCCCAATCCTAAGAAGGTGGAGGGGGAGGACCACGAATTCCAGGACATCCTCAGATACATAGTGAGTCTGAGGCCAGCCTGGGCTACAATAGGCTCAAACAACAGGATAATAACAACAAAACCTAAACCCAAACAAAAAGTCTAGCACAGCTGACACATCCCTAAATGAACACAGACACCTCTCTGAGGTATCTGGCCAAACGCCCTGTGCTATGGTCCTCAGCGACCAAGCTGTACACGTCGTCTCTTCCCCAAACCCATGATGAGTGTGTGTCTTTATCTCGATGAGGAAACTGAAGCCCAGCATTTTCAGATACTTGACCAACACCATTTGTAATAACTAATGTGTGGAATCAGCTCAGGTACCTGCGGATGGTTGAGTGAATAAGGCAAATGTGGAATAAATACACAACTGGGTACTCTTCAGTCACGGAGATGGCATCATGCCATTTGTGGGAGAATGAGTGGAACTAGAGATGGTCGTATTAAGTAAAAATGTTTTTACGTTTACGTGTGTGTGTGTGTGTGTGTGTGATGGTATACACATGAAAGTCAGAGAACAAGGTGTGGAGTCAGTTCTCTCCTTCCACTATGTGGTTCTGGGGATTGATATCAATTGTCAGGCTGTGTGGCAAGGGCCTTTGTTCACTGTGCCATCTTGCTGGCCCATATTAAGTAAGAAGAGACTTGTCCAAGTTGATTGCTCTTTAGTGGATGTAATGTCAGACTTGAAGACTGCAAAATTCAGAGTAGATCCGGGGCCACTTCCAAGCCTCTCCCCTTCCTCTGTTCTGTGGGTCCCACCTGGTCCACTCATTCACTATCATTTCTCACCTGGTAAACCCCAACCTACCACAGGGCTTTTGCTCCAAGTGATACCTATTCAGAGAGGCCTGGCTGATCACAGATTTAAAATGACAGTCCTCATCTCTTCTTCTTTGGTGTGTGTGTGTGAACATGTATGTATGTGTGTGCATTCGCATGCACGCACGCTTGCTTATATGCACACTGTGTGTAAATGGAGGTTCACATTTGTCACAGTGTGTATATGTCGGTCAGAGGACAACCACAGGTATCAGTCCTTACCTCCCATCTTGTTTGAGACAGGGTCTCTTTTGTTGTTCACCAGGGTAGCTGGCCTATGAGTCTCAGGGGATTCTTCTCTGTCCCCCATTTTACTGAGGGAACACTGAGATTCTAGAATCACATTATCACATCCAACTTTACACGGGACCTGGGGATGCCAACTCAGGTCCTCGTGCGTGCACAGCTTATATTGTACCCCCTTAATCATCTCCCCTTAAATACAGCTATCTGTTCACTGGGTTTACTTTGTGCCTTCCCTCCTTAGAATGTGAGCTTTGCCATAGCAAAGACTGGGTGCTTAGATCGCTACTGACTGTTTTTTCCATGGGTGTTTTGAAAGGAGACCCTGGCTACTGCAACACCCTGTGAGAAGAAGGGGTACGAGTCACCCTGAATGGTGTAATTAGATGCACAAGATGATGGAGGGGTGGCTGAAGGGGATCTGAGGACTCAGGGCAGAACACATTGCACAGCAGTGAGTCTGCATGCTACAGACATAAATAGGCCATCCCATATTGATTTTTTTTTTTTTTTGGCTCCTGCTAATGTTCTTACCACATCACAGTTTTTCTTTCTGAGCTCTTGTGTATGTGTAAGAGTTTGAAGGAAGGTGTAGACAAGCATGAACCACATGGCTTGTAGGAACAACCCAGGCTCAGAGTGAGAAGTCAGCACAGCAGGGCTCAGGAACCCAGGCTGAGACACAAACACAAGAGGCCTGGCAGAACCAAGGCCCCTTCCTTCTGTACAGGAATAAAAACTGTCTGAGAAAGTTATTGGTCGAAATCCCGGGACCCTGGTTTCAGGGTCTGAGGGAGGAAGGCTGGAGTACAGAGCCTCTCCTGAGTCTGAGAGAGGCAGACTTCTGGATATGAAAAGGGGGGTTGGGGGCAGACTTCTGGGTCTGAGAGAGGAGGATTGTGGCCTGGACCCCTGGGTTTGAGGGAGGAGGGCTGAGGCTGGACTTCTTAGTCTGAGGGAGGAGGAATGGATTGTGGACTCTGAGGGAGGAGAGCTGGGGTCTGGACTTCCAGGTCTGAGGGAGGAGGGCTGGGGCTGGACTCCTAGATCTGAGGGAGGAGGGCTGAAGTTTTCTTTGAAGAGAGGAGGAGTCCCACCCACTATTCACCCTACCCTCGGTCCTTCTACCCACCACTACTTCTGGTTGTGTGCAGTACAGGTAACACTGAAACCTGAGTCTCCACCCTCATTCCAGAGCAAAGAGTTTTTTTTCCTCCTTTCTTGGCAGCAGAGGAAAACCCCTCCCTCTCTCTGAACTGTAGCGTTGGCTCCCAAAGTCAAGTGAGGCTCCCACCTGTGGCTAGCCTGACTCAGACACACGGGGTGGAGGTTGTCTACCTGGGAAACTCACCTGAGGACTCTGTCCCTGAAGAAGCCTTTCCAGTCCCATGCCTGCTCATCCAGCCATGGTGGGCCTCCAGGGAGCTGATAATCCCGCACTCTGTGTCTTCCCTCTGTGTCCACTCTGGTTCACTGCAGTTCAGGAGGTGGAATTTTCCTCTTTTGTATTGGGATTCATTCCTTAGTATCAAATGTTGGGCCTGGATGTACTGACCCTTGTCACCTTCCTTATCCCTACTCTCTCCACTCCCACCTCCTACCCCTTACACGAGGAAATCCTTCCAGGGGAGAAAAATCAAGCTCCCAGTTAAGGGGAGCTATGGCTGAGAATCAGGGAGGGTGGAGTCATGAAACAGGGACTGGTTATCAGAAGCCTATGTCTGCTTGAACACAAGAGAACTTGTTCATTCAGGACACAGCTCCTGGCTGGCCATAGGCCTGAAATTCTGAGGCTGAGGCAGGACGATTGAAAATTTGGTGTCTGCCAAGAGCCTGGACAACCTTATAAAAATAAATAAATGAGTTAGTAGGAGTATTATTTATCAGAAGAACACCTACCCAGAATACCCAAGGGAGGGGCTGGGGGTGTGGCTCAGTGGTAGAGTTTGCAGGGGGGGACCTTGGTTCCCCCCCCCCCCTCTCTCTCTCGGACACGCTTTCTCTCTGTGGCTCTGGTTGTCCTGTAACCCCCTCTGTAGACTAGGCTGGCCTTGAACTCAGAGATTCAGCTACCTCTGTTTCCTGAGGGTTGGGATTAAAGGTGTGCACCACCACCTGGCCAGAATATTTTACTATTTTATATGTATGGGTGTTTTGGTTGGATGTATGTATATATACCACATGGGTACACACAGAGACCAGAAGAGGGTGTTTGATCCAGATGGTTGTGAGCCACTATTTCTGGACTGGGAATTGAACCTGAGTCTCTGGAAGAGCAACCAGTGCTCTTAAGTGCTGAGCCATCTCTCCAGGCCAAGGACACTAAACAGCAGCAACATAGTAAAAAAACCAGACATATATGATATGAAACTAAAAACCAAACCAAACAATCAAGCACCCAGATTCATGCTGAGGGAAGCTCTCTGGGCAGAGGTGAAGTGATGGTGTGAGGAGAGGAAGGCAGGGCCAGTAGTTCTCTGAGGTGGATAGGGAAGACTTCCCAGGGTGGTGCCCAGAGTGTTGACCTGGATTTTGAGGAATGTGCAGAGGATTTCAAGCTGGGGACAGAAGTTCCTGAGGAGTCTGGTGGATGAAATCTGTGAAGGTGGTCAAGATGGGGACAGCCGTGACTGAGGGACTCAAGTAGCTTTGGTCCCTGTGGCTGGGGATGTAACTAAGTGGGAGAGCTTTCCTGGAATCCACCAGTTGGGGGCTGGGAGTGTGGTTCAGTGATAAAACACTTGCCTAGACTCTAACAGCCAGAGTCCGTTGCTGTGGTCCCAGCATCTGCT